CTGGACGTCCAGCACTGCCCGGACAACGTCCAGATGCGCCCTGCTCTCCTCGCCCTGTGACACGGTCGTACCTGGACGTCCAGCACTGCCCCGCCAGCGTCCACATACACCCTGCACTCCTCGCCCTCCGGAGAGGGCGTATCTGGACGTCCAGCACTGCCCTTCAACGTCCAGATGCGCCCTAATTGTTCTGTTACGCGCCAGTGTGTTCTGCTCTCCTCTAAAGGCTCACTGGAAAGTGTAAAATGTTAGTCTTGGATTTAATTTTGTGTGGTACATTAATCAATTGAATGGAGGAGTGCTGTTGTTTCCGTGTTTTTTTTTTATTTACTCAGAAGAGGAGCCAGTGGCTCCTTACAAAGGATGTTAATTATTTATTGAAACTCTCTGGTGGTCCTTGCAGTGCTAGGATACAAAAAGTAGTGATAGTTCTAACATAATTTGCAATACTATGTCCTTGACTAGAATTCCTATTAGAATGAAAACTCTTCTAATCGAGTCTGGTTTTACTTATGATCACACATTCATTGTTAACATAGAATTATTTTATCACAGTGCAAATTCTTTACATTTTCCTTGCATTTTGGAAACATGAAACAGGCGCTTAAATGGCTATAATAACTAATCTATTTCACATGAGTTTGCCAGTGGCACAATCCATGATAGCCCTGCACATTCAATAAATAGTGCAAAAACTCTAACAGATTCAAAAAGACAAATTTCAAGACGATTATGTTGTACAAGTGCTACTTCACCAAAATGTGACACAATAATGGCATGACCATTTAGCTCAACTTTATTCACAAATAATACACAAGTTTCGGGGTGATTGAGTCTTGTAACTTTGACTATTGATTTTACTCTGTAGAAGCTTCCATTCCATGAGAGAATATGATTATTGTTGTTCTTCTCAGGTCTTGTGTACTCAGTTGACCTAATTTCAAGGCGACCATACAGTGCCCTCTTGTATCGAATCAATCCTTGAATGTTTCTGATATTAACATCTGCTAAAGCTAATCTTTCTTCATCAGTCACTAGCGCAGGTTCCGCTTGACCAAGCAAGAAGACATCTCCCACTTTCTCTGCTGTCTTTAAGTCAGACTTCAAGAGAATCGATGAAACTTCTAATTGGACTTCAGGAGAAAAATTTGGGTCGAAGGGAACACCATTAATGAAAGATGTAATTAAGTGACGATTCACAATTTGTAAGATTGGATCCTTCATGCTTTTTACATGCTTTTTAAGCTTCATATTCCACGATTCAAAGTTGAAAGTACTATGCACAAAAGCAGGTCCCCAACACCTGACAGCACGCACAGCATGCAACAACACATGTACATTAAATCTCATGCACTGCACACCAAAAAATGCTTGAAAGTCTGTGACGTAATCAGTAAACTTTTCTTCGGCTTCATTTAGATCATTCTCAGTCACAGAATCTCTTGACACAAGGAAAATAGCACGGGACAGAGTCATGAGATGGCGCAGGTATCTTTGAGGCAGCAAGGCAGTCAGGCATGGGTAAGCATAGTATAAAATCCAGTTTCGCCACTCGTGACCTCTCCACTTTGCTCTGGTATCAATACCTCGTGGAGTACGAGACAATAGTGTTGGAGGTTTCATTAACAGAAGACGAGCGTTGATCAGAGCAATATTTGCAGGGGACCCAATGTAGTAGGGAGCATTGTTTTCAGTGAGTAGTTTGTCCATGTGGAATTGGACAACTCCTTCAAAGAAGGGATGGAGGTCGTCTGTTGACATCCCCTTCCCTAGATCAAAGTGACGAAGATACATAAGTGGAGATATGCCCTTCACACCCTCATAATTTCCATTAGGGTTATCGTGAGCAGCTTCCATTAAGTCCTGAAGTTCTGCATGTGTCCTCGGTTCAGGCATTTCTTCCTGTACTGGAAAGTGGATACCATTTGCTTGCACACCTTGTATTGGGCAAAATGTGCAGCCATGATAAGCAGTAGGGGGGTTCATATTCATTATAATGCATCTAGCTTTGGCATCCACAGCACAAACTGTTGCTATGAATTTGCTGGTGATGATGCCTTTGCCTGGTGCGTTCCATGTGATTCCTTGCCTAGACAGTCTGTTACCTTGTTGGACTAAGCACTTATCTAAATACACAACCATTTCTGGATCACCACGGTCAATCCAAACTCCAGCAACAAATAGATATTTCTGCCTCACATTCATTGGCAGTTCATTCAATCGCACATATATTGGATTAACTTGAACATGAGAAGATTTTGCAACATGGAAACCATCATTATTGAAGGTGTATGAAAAGTCATTGGCTCCGAGAATTCCTTGAGCCTCCAGGCGTTGATACTCACTGCCATCATAGATGTCTTCCAGTGCTTCTATATTGTGCTTCTCTCTGTTAGCTCTGGAGAAGAGTAACTGAGCAGCATCAGGGCGAGCTAAGAATTGTTTCAATTGCGCCTTCAGATCAAATTCCATGAAGTAAGGTACATCTCTCTTCATAAATATTCGCTGACAACATTCGACTTGGTTGGGAAGATCTTTGTATCTGCCAAGATATCTTCTGCACCTCTTGCAGTAAGCATGTTTTTTAATGCCAAGACTTCTCCTATTCAGCGCTGACCAAAGTGTTTGCTTTGATTTAGGGAATAAGTTAGCTCCCATAACAAAATTTAACATCTGGAAGCAGCCAATTAATGCTTCATACGTCCAACTATGCCTATCAAACAGAGTGAGGATAACAGCAAACACCTCCTTAACAGAGTGATTGGCATATAAATGGCATATTGTATTTAGACGGTCAGGATGAAAAGTCAAGTTTCTATCACCCCCATCATTTTCATTATCATCACCTTCACTCTCTGGATCACTTGGATCATCATCCTCAGGGTCACTTGGTTCATTGTCATTGTCCATATCATTGTTTTCACCTTCAAACTCATTCTGATCTTCCAACTCATTCCAGTAATTGTTTTCTTCGCCATCATCTTCATCACCCTCATCACCATCATCATCTTCAAAGTCATTATCATCAGGGTCACCATCACCTGGTGGTCCGCCATCAGCATTCCCACGCTCCAAATGAAACACTTGATAGCTAGAAGTACCGTTCACATTTTCATCTTCAGAGACCTGTTACAAATTCCAAAATTAATTACTTTCATAATTTGTCACTCAATACAAACAGCAACGCAATGAAAGGAAAACAAAAGACAAGGCACCTCAGAAGATGAATTGAAGTTGAATGACTGGTCTCCTTGGCATAAGTCATTGTCCTCAACCTGTAAAAATTTAATTTGTTAAAAAAGGCACTTTAAAGAGTAACAAAATAGCAGATTCCTATATTGCTCACCTCTAATTGCATATTTTCATTCATTAAAAATCTTCCTGGCTCGGAGGTAACAGCCCTTGGACATGTCACGACAAATTGCTCAGAAGGACTTGACGAACAAGATTCCTTAAAAATATTTGATGAACACAATTCCTCACGTGAATTCCTAGCATTCACAAAGACCTGAAAATTACAAAGTAAAGTTAGACATGTTGTGCAGTGTGATGCAGTACTATTTCATGAGAACTAATTACGAACTTCACTGTTGATTTGCTCATCTACTTCATCTGCTGGAACTAGAGCTGCTCGAAGCAGACTTAATTGTAATTCCTCTTTCCTTCTCTTGCGTCTATAAATTGTAATTGGGTGGAGTGCTGCTGCTGCTCTGCCATCCTCACTACCATCTTCTTTACTGTTCGAGGCCATACTTATTGTACTTTCACACAATTACTGCGATATGAAACAAAGAAAACATAACCTGGTGAAAATTGCACTGTGCCATTTTTGAAGGTTCATACCTTGGTCACATGAACAAAAGCCATTAAATGATAGATTTGTACCTTCTGAAAAGATTTTTCATATATTGTTTCTTTTTTGTTGAAATAATACAGAATACAAGTTAAAAGATAAGCATGCTGTATTGTTTTGGTAACCGCTCCCTGACTCACGACCACAAACAAATGACTGCGCTGGGCAGTCAGGCTGGCCAGGCTGGCCCAACGCGTCTCCGCCGTACTGTCGCATTTTACGCGACGTAATTCGATGGTAAAATCTAAATGAATTTTTAAAGGAACAGGTAACAACGTTTGTGCGCCTTTGTAATGTCAACGATAATGTAAAATATTTCAATGCAGAATATTTTTAAACGTAGGTTGGTATCCGTTAGCCGTTGGTGTCTGTGTCCTGTCCTCTCCTCTCCTGGTTCCTGTCGTGCAGAGGAAGGCGTACTTCGAGTTCAAACCGTTCAAACAGCGAAAAGTTTCTTCGTCTTTCGGAAAAATGTACGTGGTGTCCAAAAACTTCAAGTCAGGGAAATTGGAAATTCACAAAGCCAATGAATTTTATGTTATGCATGACAATGATACCACGTACGAAAAGTGGGAGCTGCCGGCGAATGAAGACCTGTCCCAAGAAGATATGAAACGTCATTACGGACTCCCTCAGCAACAGACCATGATTATTCATACGTTGCATGCAAGAAGTGGTAAGTTCTATTACTAATCCCATTAATTTTGGGAGTTGCAGCGCAATTATAACCTCATTTGGTGTACTTTGGACGTTTCTGGACGACAACTCGTGGTGGCTCATTGACTAGTTCGTTTGGGCGCGCACTTGTCGACCCAGTGGAAAAGGAAAGATGAAAGTGATGACATTTGACGTGAAAAGAGTCATTTGGATACATTATTTCAAACCCTTAAAGTAGAATAGCCCTTAAAATAGAATTTAATTGAGGTCATGAGGTTAATGATGACAAAATGGTTACTTAGATCTTTTTCTTTTCACTGGGGGCTTGGCTTCATTGTGCACAATCATTTCAATAACTTTGCTTTTTTCAGATGATGAGGCTCTACTTAAAGAGCGAATGAGGAACAAAGATCATCCAGATTTCATTCGAAATAAAACAAGAGTGAGTGTGGACAACCACTCCATCCCTATATCGAATCTAAAGCCATATGACTCATTGAAAAGTTTGAGCAAAATGGACACAAAGGTATGGTTTTAAAAACTTTACTGTCATAAATTTGTTGAGTTATTGTGTAAGAACGTAGTTCAACAAATTAATTTCTTATTTTCAGGGAAATAAGAAGAAAGACAAGGATAAGTCACAGCACCAAAATGCTGACGATGTTAAGAAAACCCACAGCTCTAAGCATAAGAATAAAGTGACTGAAACGACCTCCAAACAGAATGGCAGTAATGTCAATGGAAAGTTGAATGATACTGAGATGGTTAGTTAAAGTGAAGTACATATCTGTAAAACTTTAATTGTGAAATGAGTTTAGTATTTGTTTCTGAGTATGTTTTTCTATTCCAGATTAATGTTTGTGACGGTACTTGTTCGATGACATTGTTTTTCAAAAATGAACTGCTGCTTTCTCAGGAAAGAGTGTCAGATCTTGAAAAAGACAATAGGGCTCTCCAGGAACAGAACAGAAAGACGGTTGAGGAATTTACTAAACAATTGTCCTCCATAAACCGTATGTATTAGTGTACTATCTTGTGAGTATAAAGACTACATGCAAATAGGGATTTCTAAGGTTTTCCTTCCTTTGTCCTAGAAAATTTGAAGCCTCGAGAAGTGAAGACGTCCAGTAATAGTGTCTCCAATTACAAAAAATCATTTATGGAGAGTCTTGATGGGTGGAGTGGAGCTCCTCTCCTAAGTGGAGATAGTGTCCCTGAAGGAAAGGTATGCAAATCATTTCTTACTCAATAATGTTTGTTCTGGGGGACGAAACAGCACAGCTTTTGTCATTCCTCTTTCAGATTCACTTTGGAGACGGGATAATGGTGGACATTCACGAGATAGCTTTAAAAGTTGAGGCGAAGTCTATGGCTGTCAGGCCTCGTGTGAAAGAATTAATCAAGCTCATTTATCCGAATAATGATGTATTGGTCCGATTTCTAGATGTCAACAAAGTGGACAGAAACGTCCATCCAGACGCTAAGCCAATTACACCTACAGTCGTAACCATGATGAGCAGTAAGTAAATGTACCTTGTCCAACTTTTGATTCTGTATGAAATTGGTTTGTATGACCTGAATTTCTATCAACAGTTGCTCTGGAGAAAATGCTATGGTCCACTAAAAAAGACGTACCACTAAGAAGCATTGTTAGTGACCGTCTAAGAAGAGTACTGGGCACCATGAGAGACGAAGCCAAATTGAAAATTCTTCCCCTTGAGGAGCAAATGGAGAAGAAAAAAGCCAAGGCAGAGAAGATGAAGGAGAGAAGGGCGCTACAAGCTGCGCAGAAGAAAGCAGAAAAATCCAAGAAGAAAAGGAAGAAGTCTGAAGTCGATGATGAGGAAGAATCAGAGTCAGATAAGCAGAGTGATACTGATGAAAGTGATGTGGAGCGAAACGGTAAGAGAAGGAAGAAGTCTGAAATCAGTGATGATGATAGTGTTCACTCAGAGGGGGAAGGAAAGAAGACTGATGATGACACTGATAAAAGTGACAGAGATGACTGAAAATGTGTTAAGGTTACTGCTTGTTTTTCAAAACAAGAAAATATAGATCAGTTTTAATTCAATGTGATTGTCCTGTAATCGTTTACAAAAAAAGTGCCATTTTCTTTTTACTTAATTTATAATACATATAAAAGAAATATGTATGTATCTGAGAAATCTTTTAATCTTAGAGTAAGGAAGATCTTACCATTTTTATTATTTAATTTTTAATACTTGATGTGTTACTAGCTGTTATAAACACCAATATTAATACCTTTGTGTTCGTATATGAATCTTTTACTTTCTTTTGGTGAATATGTCATGTCATGTTGCTATGTTACTGCCTTTCTACACTGTGAAAAATATCCTCGTAAATTTACGACATTTGTTGTAATTTTGATTTACAACATGAGTCGTAAATTTACAACATCCCATTCATGCTCGTCGGTCAATTCTAAGTCGATAGGGAGTGCTTAAAAATTTACTTTTTCAATTTACAATTTAAATTGTAATTTTACGACTTTCACCATGGAAAATTTTCCTGTAACCCTTACGACTATTTTTCACAGTGTAATACAAAGGCTATTCTTTATGAATCTTTTTTATTATTTTGTTCCTGGCATGTCACATGTTGTTTATAAATGTGATTCATAAAATGTCCAATTAGCATTTTTTTACCACTGAATACAAACAGGGAAAGGAGGCAACAACACGTTGAAGCGAGGACTGCTATAGAGTATAGCGCCAATTTAATTTTAAAACGCATATTTTGTCACTACCTAAAACGACAGGTGAGCCTCATCTACTGTCAAGATTGATCTGTAGTGAGTAACATCCACGTCATCTGGACGTTGAAGGGGAAGTGCTGGACGTCCAGGTACGACCTCTCCGGAGCGCGAGGAGGGCAGGGCGCATCTGGACGTTGAGGGAGCAGTGCTGGACGTCCAGGTACGACCGTGTCACACGGCGAGGAGAGCAGGGCGCATCTGGACGTTGGCGGGGCAGTGCTGGACGTCCAGGTACGACCTCTCCGGAGCGCGAGGAGAGCAGGGCGCATCTGGACGTTGAAGGAGCAGTGCTGGACGTCCAGGTACGACCGTGTCACACGGCGAGGAGAGCAGGGCGCATCTGGACGTTGTCCGGGCAGTGCTGGACGTCCAGGTACGA